GCCTCTTTCCTGGCAAAATTGTTCCTTTTTCATTTGGCGAAAATGTTTTCTCTGTTTTCTGAATAAGGTTGAAAAAAACAAGGTTGTGATTTGTTTACTTCCTTGTTTGTGCGTCAAGATAATTAAATATATACACTGAAGGTTGGAATAATGCTTCCACATTTATTGAATGAAAATGACTCATGGACTAAAGTGACCATTACAAAAGCTAGGACTAAATCCCAACATCCTTACTTATGATTTCTGCGATCATGCGGTTTGTCTGTTTTTAATTTCATATCATTTTTATTTTCATTCTGAGGCAGCTGGAAGCTTCTGTGATTTATGGTCATAGACAGTAGGGCTGTACGAAGCTTTGGTCCCTGATTTGATTTGGCAGAGATTCGGCCCGATTTGGTGGTTGAATCTCTGAATTCGAAATGAAACAGAGGACCCTATAATCTCTCTGAATCTATTCAGAGAGATTTGGACAGATTTGGCGATTCAGACGTAGATACAGCTTTAAATGTTTTTTCTACATACTTCTAGGTACCAGGGGCTCTGAACGCTGCAGTGCCGGGGCAGATGTAGCATCCCACAGAAACACGGGCGGCTCCCCAGCATGCTCGGTGTCAGACCAAGAAGCGGACCAGAAGCACTTCCAGTCCACTTCCAGGTCTGCCGGGGAGCGCACGGGGGGGGCCTCCCATGCCCCTCCAGCTCAGTGACTGGTGCCTCCTGGGTCGGGGGGGGGGGCATCTGGGGTTCCTCTTCAGCCAATCGCTGAGCCAGGGGGGCACTGCCCCCCACCCGTGCACTCCCTGGCAGACCCAGAAGGGTCAGAATCAAATAGGGCCCGTTTTGCACATCCCTAATGGACAGCTGTTCATTTCTAGCAATAAGAATTTCCCTGAAATTTCTCCCACCATAGCACAGCAACGTGTCTCCCTCGTACTTTAATAGCAGCCTTTAACTACCTGAAGGGGGCGTCCAAAGAGGATGGAGCTAGACTGTTCTCAGTGGTGACAGATGACAGAACAAGGAGCAATGGTCTCAAGTTGCAGCAAGGGAAGTTTAGGTTAGATATAAGGAAAAACTTTCTCACAAGGAGAGTAGTAAAACACTAGAACAAGTTACCCAGGGAAGTTGTAGTCTCCATCCTTGGAGATTTTTAAGATGCAGCTAGACAAAGTCTTGGCTGGGATGATCTAGTTGGGGATGGTCCTGCTTTGAGCAGAGAGTTGGCCTAGATGACCTCCTGAGGTCCCTTCCAGCCCTAATTTTCTATGATTGTATATTTTATATGGTTCCTTAATATTTTCACTGTTTTAACAGAGAGTTTTGACTGAATTGGGAGATGAAGGAAAAACTGGGACTAGATTTTCCCCTCTCATTATAAACATATAACTGGTTTGATGCAGCCTTAATTAGGCCAGGATATGACTTGCACCAAAACCTAGGCTTAAATGGCAATTAAGTCGAATTAGCTGTGATTGTTGTAAGGCAAAGTATTAATCTGAATAATTCACCGGGACTTAATGCTAATGCTGGACAGTGACGTGGTGGTCTGTAAGGTCTGGATTTGATGCGGCCCAAAACTCTGTGAAAGAAATAAACCAGTTGTCTGTTTTTAGCCCGAGAGAGGTGTCCTATGGGAAGTGAAGTCTCAGTAGGATTCTTTTCAGTAATTGTCCTCTATCCTTACTCAAATTTGACTTATACATTGGCTAGGTATAGATATTCAAAAAGCCCAAGGCGGAATTGATCCAAGTTACATAGTTTTCCATAAGCAGCATAGTTTAGACCAGTACAGAACACACATTCACCCTTTGGGATGTGGGGTTGGGGGGTGCATATTTTAGACCTGGTTCTGCCATTTTTAAACCAGTCTATGTGTGCCAAACTTCTGTTCCGTTATAGGTATAGACTGGTTTTGTGTGCTGAACTTCTGTTCTGTGTACGGGTATAGACCAGGTTCTGATCACTTTTACTAGTAAAAGTTTAATGTCTGTACCTGGCCTAAACCTGGCACAACCCAATTTACAAACTGCTCTCTCAAATAAAGTGATTTCCTCACTTTAGTGATTCACCTCCATAACAAATTAACCTGTGACTCGTATATTTTTTACATATACAATTTAACCATAAACCTGGTTCTGAACTGAAGGAGTTCTGAACTGTTGCTTGTGAAAAATATTTTTTCCTTATATGCAATCCCCCCAAAAATGAAAATATAGATCAGGAACAATGTTTGACAGTAAATGTCCTGGCTTTTGTTGGCTTGTTTCACAACAAGAGGGTTATGAAATTGTGAATCCTGCAGGGATTTTTAATAAAAAAATGAATGTCTATTTCTGCTTGTTTCCTTTTAAAAGAAAAATGTTGCTGTGAAGATTATAATATGGACCATGTTTTATTTACATTAGAGATACAGTATTTTATTGCTTCTAAGGTTATATATATCATTAGGAAGGACAAACAGAAGACTGAAAGAAAATATAATATTTACTTTAAAGGTCCAAGGAGGTAAATTCATAAATAGCAATTTTAAAGTGTGCTGAACTGATGAGTCTACCAGCTTCCTCTTCAGATATGTAGTACAAGGTCATTGGTATCTGGAGCTGTGACAGTCATTTGATAGACTGCATACTTTTCATATGCTGGAAGGAAACAAATATCTATATTTATATCTATCTATATATAGATCTATATAATCACTATATGTGTACACAAATGGACATACATACATATTCCATATATATATATTCTGTATATATATAATATGGAATATGTATGTATGTATGTCCATTTGTGTACATATATAGTGATTTTTATACACATGCACACACACACGCTCGCTATGTATGTATACAGGTCTCTCTCTCTTTCTACACACACACACACACACACACACACACACACAAAAGAATATATTTATCTTTTGACAAAATTGAATATCTAAGGGTAGGTAATTTGGGCTTAATGATGAGGTCCATGGAAGGGCTACTTCACTATTCCAGTCTATTCTTCTGCCCTTCTGGGTATGTGGGGCCATTTCTCAATCGGCTGGAGAGAGAGAAGAATGTATACTGGCGTACCAGGGGGAGAACCAGAGCACAAAGCACTTGCCAGCATAGCTGTTTCTTGAGCAGTATTGCCAGCCAAGGTACTTTAAAATCATGGGATTTTAAATGCTGCATGGTTCTTTGCCTTTTGGCCTTGTGTTTGTAGAGTCTTTGAGGTTTTATTTTCAGGCATCTCTCCACAAACATAAGGGTTAGAAACTTGTTTGCTTTTACTTTAGAATAAAAAGTAGACATATTCATGAGAGTCTCATCCCCTAATCCATGAGTTTGGATTTTAAGAGAAATACCAAATATACTGAGAGGCAGATTAAAAATACAAGAAAGGCTGACAATGCCCTCACAAGTACAAGTGAGGGAAGTCCTGATATTGATTTGATCCCCTGCTGGAAAGAAGTAGCATAATGCCACGTATTTCCTTTCTCCTCAACACTCGCAGTGTTTTGATCCATTTGCAGATAGGAGACAATGATATGAAAAGTGAAAATATGCTCTTTTCTTGTGGTTTTGAAGAGGATTACGATACATAGTGAAACCGAAATGGCTTCTGTCTTTAAAAGTAGGCAGAATTGCTAGAATTGTCAAGTAATTTCAGAAGCAAAAATCATTCTTTCAGTGTCATACTCCAAACAGTAGGACACATTGCTGTTCAGATTATATCTTGAAGGGATGAGAAGAACCACACAACAGATGCTAGGTTAAAAAAATCTTGTTATTGGAAGTTAAGCTTTTTATCTAGGGAAAGAAATGGAAGTGTCAGAGAGTTTGGGTCTGATGTCTGAAAGGGATAGCCAGTGATCCCACCTTAGACAAGGAAAGAGGTATTGTTACCAAGTTTTTAAAGTATCAAACATACCTGAATGTGGCTAAAACTCCACAAAGTCCCCAAGCTGTCACAATTTAAAAAAATGAAATTAAAATAATTTTACATATTGAGAAACTCATGATTTCAAGCAAGATCCAACAGGCCCTCAGTTCCTGATATATAAGTTCTATGTATTTTATTATTAAAGAGACATTCTCATCTCTACTTGAGATGATTACATAACTTTTCTCATATATATTCATTGGCCATAATAAAAATATGAACCTAAGACCATAGACAAAATAAAATATTCAGTATTGCCAAATCCAAGCATTAAGAAATCATGAAACAGACCCCAAAAAATTGTAGGGTTTGCTTTTGAGAAGTGTTGGGGGAGAGGTTGGCCTCCTAGTTTTATGTCCTTTAATATACATGCTGTTGTTCATCTTCTTAAACTTTTCTCCACATTGCACTGCATGTTTTTCTCAATTGTTGGGTTCAGCCTTCCCTTGTCATTAGGGTTCACAGCTGTGGGATACTTCTGGATCCTCTGCTGCACCTGGATCTTCAGGTGGTGCCCATGAGTAGGTGCACTTTTCACCAACTTTGTCTGGTGAGAAGGCTGCAGCACTTTTTCAGGGTCTTGTCTGGCTGCTCTCATCCGTGCCTCCATAACCGTAAGGCGAGACTACTGGAATGCACTCTGTGTGGTGCTGCCCTTGAGAAGTGTCTGCAGCTGGTGCAGAACACGGTGGCCTGTTCTCTGATGGGGGTGGGTTGTCAGGAGCACATAACTCCAGTGCTCCAGAGTGTGTACTGGCTTTGGGCATAGTTCAAGATGCTGGTTTTGACCTAAGGCCCTAAGCACTCTGGGCCCTATGCACATAAGGGACTGCCTTCTCCTTGTTGCAATCCCTAAGGTCAGCTGAGAGCAACCTCCTTACACGTACCATCAGTATGCCTAGTATAAGTGAAATCACAAAACAAAAGACAAAGTTTATGAGAGCCAGGATCTGATGATGACATATTTTTAATTGCATACTGTGTTTGGTGTGGGCTTCCTTTGTTTTTTGTTTTTTTTAATACTTGTACCATATTATATGCATCTGCCTCAGTTCATTACATCTGTTTCTTTTGGCTTTCAGCCTTACTGAACTTGTTTTTCCTGCTGTGTTTCTGTAAACAACTCTCAGCATCGAAGTCCAGCCTACAGCTGGATCAATCTGTTCCTTCAAAAGTAAGCCACCCGTCTATATCTGGAATGGCTAAGTATTTGTCTGGAAACGTGCTGCAAGTGCTAGAAGCCAGGATGTAAGGAGGTGTAGTTTTGTTTCTGACAGATTTGTTGTGCAGCCTGGGTGAGTTACCTTCTTCTCTTTCCTTGGTCCCTCCCCATGTCAAATGGGGATAACTACACTTAGAGTCATCTACTGGGCAAAGCTGGGAGGAGGATAAATTAGTCTGTGCATTAAAGTGTTCTTGGATGGATAAGTTTATTAAGAGCTTTGATTGTACACAGATTGTCCAGGAGATTCAGCCTCTGGAGAGTGGGGGAAAGATGCAACCTGTGTAAACCAAGTGCTTGCTTAAAGAAAAATGATAGTATCTGAGCTTTGGAGATTGAGCTCCACACCCCCTGCCCCCATCCCCCCCCCAGCCCTGTTTCCTGCTAGAATTACTAAGAAGTTGCGAGAAACCCAGTCTTGCAAGCTATTGGGATGATTGCTATAAACAGCTGCTCTAAATTATCTTGGCAACTAGAGGGATATGTCAGTACTGAGATGACTCAGAGGGAATAGAAACCAGTTCATGTAGACATGACTCAGCTTCTGTTAAATAAGCTTCCCTTTAAACATGTCTTGTCAAATCATTACACAGCACATTTAACAGTATTTTGCACTTCTTTTCTTGCTTGTCTGTTCTTATTTCCTGTTTTCACTGCACTCAACAGCTCAATATACTGGGGCAAAAATTGGTAACAATACCATATAAATGTAAAGCTTAAAGGCCAAATTGGAGTTTTCCCTGAGTAAGATTGCAGTATCTAGGCTTAGGTTTGAACTACTACTGCCGCTTATATTTTGATTACACTTAACTACATTCTAAAATTACAGGCTGTTCCCAAGAAAACTCACTTTTGTACAAATAATGCTTGCATTTCCCTGTAAGTTATCTCTATGATTTTAGGAAAAGCCTTCATTGCAGCATACATCAAATAATAAAGAAGGAGCAACCAACAAGGAACATCATAACTATGACTTCTTTAAATCTTTCGTTTGGTTTAACAGTAAACCTCTTCCACTCAGCATGCAGTGCTCCATTATGCATGCAGCCTAATCCACCTTCCTGTCTCTTCATTCAAATCACTTTTTAAACCCATATGTTCCATGAAGCCAAAGGTACACATCACTCGCTCTGTTTCTTCAATGTACCAGTTAGTGCCTGTAGACTATAAATCCTTTGTAAGATGCCTTGTACATTTATGATACACAGTTCATTATTGAATCTGTAGAAAAATGCAGTGTTTTAATTCTGCTTTTAAAATGGATGGCTCAAAATTATGAGAGGAAAGCAGCAACGAATGTTGTTAATTGATTCAGTCTGCTTTGAGATTAATGGTAGGAAGCTTATCAAATACGGTACATGTTCTACTGCAGTCAAGCTTATCATAAAAATAAAAGCACATTTGAATCTAACAGTATTACCTCTAAACTTACATTTCCCATGTTCAAGACATTCCAGAGTGCTGTACATGCTACAGAACATACAGAATTTGAAACTCATTTCAGATGCCCAGAATATGTGAGCAACCCCCCAGTAAGAGGCTGGTATATAGGCTAAGTTTTAAATAGAAAAAAAGTCAGTCTAAGCTACACATAAAAAAATACTGTGTGAAAAAGTTAAAATTAAGCACTAGGAAATTGTGCATGTAGTTTACTCAGTCTGGACATGCAATTACATTTGAAAGAAAAATTTCAGTGCATGTTTTAAAATGTATATCTGTCTGTGGAATGGTGAAGGGGAAAAAAAGTTTTGGCAACCTTTTGGCAATCAGGGATGGATTTTTTTTCCTTAAGCAATTTTTAAAAATATGAAAAGTAAATTGACTCTATCTTTTTTAGTTTGAAAAATGCCATGCTTTCATGAAATATTAAAAATAAATTTCCCTCTTTTTTCATATTAAATTACTCTGATGTAGTTTTCCAGTGTAGAACTGCTGAAATGTGCTGTTGATTATAGCAATTGTCCAGTCTTCCTTTACTTCAGAGGAAGCACATGAATTGAAAAACCATAATGAAAGGAATCGTTTGGGTAGTTCTTGGCAAAGGATGTCTCCACTTCTCCTTGCAGGAAGTACTGCTTGTGTTTTATGATTTGCTCACATGAAACCTCTTTCAGATCCAAAACTATCTGAGGTTTCACTTAACACTCTATATTCATACTGTAGGATGTGGTGGATGGAAACTATGTGGAATATATTCCTATTTTAAGTTGATAAGTCAACACAGGTTTGAAAATCTAAAGGGTTTACTGAGATGATAATGGAAAAAGTATTTGAAGGTGGTAAGCTAGCCTCCAAAAACTTAATATGTTATTTTAAAGAGTGTAAAATGAGATCACTAAAACAGTTTTCAAACATTAAGTCCCCTTGAACCAGTACTACTAGTTAAAAAGCACTAGAACTTTTATGGTGAAGAGAATGCATTCTGGATCAGGAAGCATCAAATGCTACTAGATGCTGAATTACCCAGAATGAAAAAGCACTCCAGGCCCAGATTCTGGCAGATCAGTATGACCTAGTGTGCCAGCAGAATTTGTATTTGATAATGATCTTGACCTTTTTAGAACTGGCCACAGGAGGTTTTCATTGGTCTGTGCTGCAAAGGTACAACACTTGGACCATACTGGGACTTAGATGCAAGTCTGTGCTTTCTCTGTTCCCTAGTATCTTGTTCTGATTCCAGAGTAATTTACTCATTTGTTCCTATACTGAACTTTCTCAAAGCTAGGAATAGGGTTTCTCTGAAGACATTTGTGTTGAAAAAACACAGTTGCAAATCCAAATTTTGAATGTTACAGCGTATTGTTCTGGATACGGACAAACATACACTTGTAGCGGCCTCAAAAGGGGACGGGGAGTTGCTGGTTGGGATAGCACAGGGGCTGCTATGCTGTCACTGTTAAAGGTGTGTGAACCAGTAGGGATACAAGGAGCAATTTCACTACACAACTTTAACCCTGCTCCATCCAGTGTCAAAGTTGGGGTGCTTTAGTTCACTTGTGTAATTTATATGCCAGCTCATATACACATAAGGGTTACTATATAACAGCTGTTGCACCCTCCAGAGCAGCAGCTGCCCCCGCCCCTTCTCTTTTGAAGCTGCTACAAGTGTTCCTTTGTCCTTAGCCTCAGGCTGTATTTGCTTAGTGTTTGTACTTCTCACATATGGGTAAAATTTATCTATGGATTCGTAATAGGATGGCAGCATGTAATTTATTATAAACACAATAATATTGCCTTAAGCTTTAAGAAGCTTGCACAAATTTCTGGCCATAAGGTAGTGCCCCCTTTTAACGTCAAATAATTAGGATGCTTTTAACATACTGAATTGTACAGCACAATGTAAACATGTGGTGTACAGTACACTTTCTTTTACTTGCCCATATAGCAGCTTCCTTTGGAGAGGCCCATTGCTACACAGCAGCAAATAGCTTGCTGGCCCTACAGAAGCAGCTTTGGTGGAATTTGGGCTTTCTAGTATGGCAAACACAATGGGCTTTCCAGTGTGGGCTTTCCAGTATGGCAAGCACAGTGAGCTTCCTCTTTCCACTATGGCTTAGTGTTATTCACAACATTCCTCTCGTTAAAAACTTGCTCCACCAGACATGGCTGTTCTTAGCACTATCCTACCAAAGCAATGTGCTATTCCATGTGTGAGTTGATAGTTGCTTGTTGGTAGCTGCTTTAGTGGCAGATGAAAAATGGACTAATATCTACAAGGATGCAGTGTGAGAACTTCAAAATGCAGTCCAAACTGCCTGTCAGTTTAACCATCAGTTTGGGGAGATGTCTGAAGCAGAATCTTTAATGTCTTTCATTTTTAATACATGTGCTTGTGACCTACTTTGTTATGGAAAATGAAGTGATTAGCAACTACAGTTGAAATTAAATTGCAGCAATTATTTTGAGTTTTGTACTATACAGCCAAGCAATATAATATTATACAGTTGCAACATTCTGTAGTCTAGCGTGCAATATTCTGAGGCTTGTGCCATGAAGAGGGACAATACACTATATGGGATTTGGTTATTCACCTAGATTTTGAGCTAGCCAGCCAAGGGTCCAGGTCACTCATAACAAATAGCATGTCTCTTATTTACCTGTTATGCTTCATGTTGCACAATGCTACACTTCACTCTGTTTTGGATAAGTGGTTTCAATCCCATTGCTTTCATTGATATATAAAGTTATAAAACGATTAAAACTATACCATATCTTATCATCCTAGAAGGGCAACATTTTGGAAGACAATGCTAAGTTAACGATCACATAATTGACCATGCAATTAGAGAGGGAATGACTTTCTCTCCCTGGTCATCCTTTTAAAAATGATTTTGAAACTTCAGTTTGTTGAACTGAAGGAAATATCAGTTATTTTTTTCAGTTAATAATAGAGTTAGGTAACATTAGCAGAAAATAATCTAACACAGATGAAAGCACTATATTTATGCTTCATTTTATTCTGCTTATTAGTTTATGGATACAGAGACAATAGTGGAATGCCATAACTGCCAGATTTTGCATCTGGAATTTAAAATTCAAAATATCTAGGCAACTTGCCAGTGACCACTTAGTTGTTGATATTGAAGAACACATGCTGTTTCTACCAGATCGGGATTCATTTTTTTATCACACTTTTTCCCCCCAGATCTGTCTTTTATTGAAATGTTATATGACCTGATATTCATACTGACTTTATGGTTAACCTTTCCTTTTACAGCTGTCTTCTGATAGAAATAAAAAAGAGTTAAGAAACTAAAAATCTTTTCCCATGATTAATAGGATAGCATAGGGGCAGGCAATTGTTTCAGGCGGGGGGCCACTTACTGAGTTTTGGCAAGCTGTTGAGGGCCACATGGATAGCCCTGCCTCCCGACAGGTGCCCTGTCTCCTGGTCACCATCTTGGGACCAGAAGTCCTGCCCCCTACCCCCCAATCTTTGCCACCAGAAGTCCCTCCCCTTGCCCTCAGGAGTAGTTTCGGGCAAGGGGTTTTGCCAGAAAACTACCAAATTATATTCTACAGTCATTTACAACATTCATTAATTTGATTTAAAAATATTTTTGTCTTGATGTACATGCATTTGTGTAGTGTACATAGAGGTGATTGCACAATAACTTAAAATGAAGTCTTACTCTTGTATACTGGGGGGCATGGAGGGTGGGTATAGGTTTGTGGGGGGCTGTGGGTCCATGGGGGAGGGTACGGGTGTGTGTGGGGGGTTTGTGAGGGGGATGGGGTGAGGAAGCATGTGGGGATGTGTGGATGTGTGGGGTGTGGGTGGGTATGGGGTTTGTCGGGGGAAAGGGTGGCTGGGATGTGTGAGGGGATGTGGGGGTATGCGTGTCTGGCAGGGTGTGCTTGTGGGACTCACCCTATGAATACTCTCTCTCTCCCCCTTCCCTCACTGTGCGCGCGCGCGCGCACACACACACACACACACACACACACACACACACACACACATACCCATACCCATCCCTCCTGCTCCTGGCCCTGGAGTACTGGTGCGCCCCCATGCTCCTGCGACCCAGCAATGCAGCCTGGGGCCACGTGGTGCTGGAGCAGGTATACAGGGAAGCAGTGAAAGCTGGGGCAGGCAGAGGCTTCTGGGTGAGGGGGCTGGGGGTAAGGAATGGCCAAGCTGGCTTTGTTGCTGGCTTCTGCCAGCTCCCCCTGGGTCCTACTGCCCCTGGCTCCTGTGATCTTTGACAGGCAGCCAGGAGCAGATGATATCAATTTTCTGAATTTTGTAGGGGCCCAGTGGGCCAGATCTGGCCCATGGGGTGTATTTAGCCCACCTGGGATAGCAGGTCATTAAACAGATGCAGAAGCAGCAATCAGTCCCTTAAGCATGTAAATAAAGCCCAATTAAAAAAATCTGATGTAGCTCTGATAGCATCCTAAGTGGGACTTTCAAAATACTTCTCCCTTTTAACAATGTATTTAAATATATTGCCAAGAAAAAAATAAGTCTAGTTATATATTTAGGCTTGGCGTAATTTTATTTTAATTTTTTAAAAATAATGTTGACAGATAATATAAATGTTTTATTTTTAAGTATTTAGTTTATTGATTTTAATTTTTAGGATTGTGCAATTTAACTGCCTGCTGTGACAAACCTAACTACTGTAGGATTGCCACCAGCTGAGCAGCAGAGCTTCCATTAGTTCTGGTTACACTCACCTGTAGCTCCTTTGTTCACTTTGTCACTTCCTCTTTCTTTATTCCCAATCCCCTGGGGTTTCTGGGAGTTGCAGTCCAAACTACAGTCAGCACTGTTCTGTAGGACTGCACCCCCTGTCATCAGACACTCTATCAGCCACTATTTTTCTTGCATCCTTTTCTATTAATTTCAATATTTTTTCATCAGTCTGTGAGTATGAGGTAAAATTGACATTTATCAATGTTTGCTGAAAAAAAAATCAAATTTTTCCAAGACTATATATAATCTAAGAATATAATATAGTACAACAATGTACACTCAGGAATTAAAGCTTTGTTATAATCCACATAAACAAGCAAAATGTAACACAGTGGGTGCATCTACACATGCAATTAATGCAAACTGATTAACTGTGGTGCATATCGCACTGGAGTGTAGCTCCCAGGCGCTGCATTTACAGATGCACCCAGGACTACAGCATATTGAACTGAGTCGGAGCAGCCCCAACTGGCAAGGGGCCCTTGTGGTCAGCCTGCCAACCCAGAAGTGCTCCTACCTGGCTCAGTGCGCTCTGGAGGGGCTAGCTGGCACACAAGCGTGCTCCAGTGCAGACCTAGCTAGCATGCAGCTTCTACAATGAAGCACCCTTGTGCCCCAGCCAGCCCAGTCAGCATCTACACATGTGGTGCTGCACACTAAAGAATGCTTTTGCAGGATAGGACTTGTATTTACAAGTACTAACCTATGGCAGAGTTAATTAGTTTACTGCGACCTAATAGGGCCACATGTGTAGACACAGTGACTTTACTGCGGCTCTAATTAGCTCTGCAGTAAACTGTCTCGACCGGCCAGAGCTGACTTGAGGTGATTAAGAAATTGCTCGTTCGTTTGGGCGGGCTGGTGAATGGAGAGGCAGACAAGGTTTAATGGTTGCAAAAACGTTTACTTACGCCGCCTGTAGTTGCGACGCAGATGGTCCGGTCGTCTGAACAACTATGTGAGTTGTTCCAGCTGGCGAGGCCCAAGCCAGTTAATCCGTCTGCAATTCGAAGCCGGCGGGAAAAGGGTATGTCTGGGATTGCGCTCGGCGACGGGAAGAAGGATCGATAGGTGATCAGTCTATCGATCAGCTAGCCGCAAGTCAGATCTCTTTAGAGGCACTCTGCAGCATGCTCAAAGTTCTTCAACTTGGGCGGAAGTCGCACGGGATTTTAAACAGTTAGCAAGCCAATTACTAGCCGCCATGTGTGAATAATTTAGCACTGGCCAATAGCGGGCCACAAATTTGCATTCGAATAGCAGGAACTCTTTGCACCGTGCATTTCTGTGCTGCAAAGAAGAAATGCACCCTGCAAATTGGCGGGAACTCTCTTGCACCGAGGTTCTTCTGCTGCAACAGAAACCCTCGCTGTGCAAGAGGCTCTCATGTGGCAAGAAAATTCCATTGTGCCGAGGCACCAAAATCACTGGGTTGTGACATAAACATCTCATGTAGACATGCCCAGCGAGTGTGGGGCTTATTTTGGCTTCTTGTCTATGACCAGTTGCTTATACGCTGTATATTTGAATAATTGCAACTATTCTGTTTCCCTACCCTTGCTTTCCTTTTGTAGTGGGTAACGGCTAGAAATAACTAATGTCAGCTGTGAATACTAGAGGAAAGGTCAAGAATATGAAGGTAATGCAAGTGTGGATAGATTTGACCCTCCCTGGGAACACAGGGGGAGACTCCCCCACACTACCCACACATGGTAAGCAAACTAGTGTCATCAATTCTTTTTACATAAGTCATATGAGTGGGGAAATAAGTGACTGCAGCAGCTACTAAGAGTCAGCTAGGTTTCCATCTCAGGATACACTTTCTCTATTTTGATTTCAACAGGCCTGTGATCAAAGTATGTTCACAAAGTTTCCTCATACTTTCAATATATATATTTTAAGGGGGATAGCCTTTATTATCCTGCTCTATAGAATGTGCACCACATCAAACCAGTTCATAGCAAAGCTTTGACAGTTTCCCTGTCATCAATAAGATCATACCTGGAGCAGGTAAATTTGCTAGAACATGCATTTGCAAATATTAAGCCTTTTCTAGACACTGTATTGTCCTTGCAAACTGCTTAGCATTACTGAGTGACGCTGTGGCTAGACTGAAAGCAGACAGCTGACAGGGATTACTCTAGAACAAGTATGATGCCAGTGAGGTAAACAGTTATTCAGTGTGCAGTATCATTTACTTATCTGTTAAAAGTGTTTTGCCTAGTGAATCTTGCTGCATTTATTTTTCCTACCAAGTCGTATACCTTTTGCTTTCCTTTTACCATTTGCCTTTTGCAATAACACTAGCAGCTTCCTGAGTAAGATTTCTTGGGAGTTGGGTGAGGGTTTCTGAACTTTCAAATGACAGCAGATCTCCCAAATGTTTGCTCCTGGTGTCCACAACATTAAACTAGAGCTGGTAAAAAATGTTTTGCTTCTGTTCTTGGGTAAAATTCTGAGCATTCTAGGATAATCCCATAACAGTGTTTTGAAAACCTTTATTGGAAACGTCCCCATATTTAGACAGATCTATGAGCTAGAGAAACAAAACGTCTTCTTATAAGGTTAAAAAAACAACACTATGTTCGAGTCCAGAATGTCCTTGTTTGAACTTGCAAGAACTATTTTGTGTAACTAGTAAACAGACTTCTGAATTACATAAAATGAAGCTGCCTCTGATCCAAAACCAGTATTTGTGTGTGTTTGAGGAAACTTCTGCATGTACTAGAGACCACATAAGTGTTTTGTGACATAGTGGGAGAAGTTTTCATGATTCCATATGTAGGTTTCTCCTAAAAAAAAAAAGGGGGGGGTGGGGCTCTATAAACTGAGGATCACTAACTTATTGAATATATCTACCTCTTCTTATAGATGCCAGGGGTCCATGAATGTTCGCTGGGCTTCTCATAGCAAATACAGCAAAATTTGGGGTTAGGTATTGGCCTCCCCACAGGTAATAATGCCAACATCAATTATCTTTTTCCTTTCTTTATTCATAAGGAAAAGAGAAGGAAGAAATAATCCCCTTGGAATACTGGACTAGCTAGTTTAAGGCTTAGTGTAGTGAAAACTATTGACAATGAAAATGTCCGTTAAAATAGACCCGAAAGCTTGCTAAGAACATGTTTTCCAACTATTTAAGTTGGTCTAATAAAAGATATCAGATTCACCCAAAAAGCCTTGTCTGCCTATGTCCTTAGACCGACACGGCTACAACCTACACCCTGTAACATGGAAGATATTAAATTCTGCCACTTGAAATGGAAACTGTACAACATGAAAAAGAAGCTAAACTCAAGAGACATATATTTTCTAAGCCTATGCAAGAAACACAACTTTGTTCCCAGAGGATTAAACATCCACAATCCTCTGATTACTGCACACAACTCCAAGTATGCTTCACCGCTATGCAGGAAAACTTCAGAGAAAATTAGAAATCATCTTCTTCACCTAATCTACTCCAAAAGAGACCAGCTCAGAAAGGAAATCACCACCTGCTACAACTTAAAAGGGAAAAATCCAGATATCTTCCCTAATATTATACAATGGACACAAAGAGACTACAGAAATTTTTCTACAACAGTCATCCAACATAAAAAGCAGAAATGGAACAAATTACTCCAGGAGCACCTTTCCCAGCCACAAAACAACCATCAGAGGAGCAACACCAACACCGTACAACATTCCAATCTCAGACTTGATGAAACTGAAAGCAGCAACCAACCCTCAAATATCATCAATCTCTCCACACACACGCTTACCAAAACTGAAAAATCTGTCCTTTCTAAAGGCCTAAATTTCTGTCCAGAAAAATACCCTAATAAAATACGTCAATGTGGAGAACTAGAAGAATTCGTCTGACGCCTCTGCCTCAAGGAATATTTCCACAACCAGAATTAATCCACTTCCAACAACAACTCATCCTCTGACAACACTGAGGAAAAAATCAACCGCGCAAAACCCCCCAAAATTAGATTGGACACCTCACAGTGGATGAAATTCTAACCTTGACTGCTACAATGACTGCTTCAGGGAAAGAATGAACAATGAAATAATCAACAACACATGCCACCATAACAATTTCTCCCCACCAGGGAGAAAGGCCATAGAATCTCTAAGATCCAACCACCAAATAGTAACAAAGCCAGCAGATAAAGGAGGAGCCATAGTCATCCTTAACCATGAAGGCTTCATAAAGGAAGTCAGCAGACAACTCTCTGAAACCACCTACTACAAAGAACTACAAGAAGATCCTATTCTCCTTTTCACCTTGAAACTCAAAAATACTATCAAATCATTTTCATCAGAACTACAAGAAAAACTACAGACCTTGATCCCCCTGCTACCTAATTCAGGGACTTTTTACATGCTCCCTAAAATCCACAAACAAGGGAACCCTGGCAGACTCATCATATCCAGCCATGAAACTCTAACTGAGGAAATATCAGGTTTCATTGAATCAATCCTAAAACTGCTTGTCACCCAAAGAACGACTTTTGTCCAAGATACTACAGAATTTCTATGGAAACTTAAAAACATAGACCACCTTCCCAGCAACACCCTCCTAGCCACCATGTACCAACATCCCACACCAGGATGGCATCCAAGCCTGCCGTACATACCTACGAGAACAAGATGACAACTCAGAACACAGACCCAAAGATATTATTCACTTTATACACTTCATCCTCACACACAACAATTTCACTTCTAATAACCAACACTTCCTCCAGACCATGGGCACAGCTATGGGCACCAGAATGACCCCCCAGTATGCCAACCTTTTTATAAGCCACCTGGAAGAAGAATTCCTCAAGGACCGCACCATCAAACCCTTGCTATACTTAAGATATATTGATGACATATCATTTGAACTGAAAACCTGCAATCTCTGATTGAATTTCAAGAATCATCATCCCTCCATCTGACTATCTCTTGAATAATCCAGCACCAACATCTCCTTTTTCGACATGATGATCAGTATCCAGAATGGTAAAATACAGACTACGTTATACAAGAAACTCACAGACCAACACACATATATGCACAGAACCAGCAATCACCCTGAACGCACCAGGGAAGCTGTGATATACAGTCAAGCCCTCAGATATCACCGAATTTGCACTGAGAACACCCGGGATTGCCACCTCACTAGTCTTAAAAAAAAACTTTTACTATACAAGGACACTCCACCAGAGAAATAGATCACACGTTTGAAAGAGCCACCTGGATACCACGTGAAGAATTGCTGAAGTACAGAAGAAAAACCCCCATGAATTGCACTGTTGTTTATGACATATCACCCCTCCCTCAAACCCATACAGAAAATCCTCAAACAATTGCAACTCATACTAGAAGGAGACCCTATTCTTAAAGAGATCTTTCTAGAACCACCCATGCTAGCCTTTAAACAAGCTCCAAACCTTGCTAACCTCATCATGAGGAGCAAAATTCCGCAGAACCCCCCATGCTAGCCTTTAAACAAGCTCCAAACCTTGCTAACCTCATCATGAGGAGCAAAATTCCTATGGCCCAGAACACACCAAAAGGATCCAGACCGTGCCAGGACAAGAAATGCAAAACCTGCCAACACATCTCCACCATCCCCACAATTACTACACCCCACAACAGAACCATCAGCATTTCTGGATGCTACATCTGCACCTCCAGAAATGTAATATATCTCATTCAATGCACCAAATACCATGATGGAAAATATGTAGGAGAGACCAAACAACAACTGAGCACTAGAATGAATGCACACCAGAAATCTATTAAAGACAAGAATACCCAATTACCGGTGGGGGCACATTTCTCACAAGAAAACCACTCTCTCTCCAATCTCTTAGTTCTAATCCTCAAAGGGAATTTACAAAACACTCTTCACAGACAAGCCTATGAACTTCACTTCACCACCACCACCCCCACTTCCAACTTGTCTCTTACTCACTGACTCCTTAATTTACATCTCCCTGACTACCTTTCTTGCATGCATGCCAGCCTCTGGCTTATTTACTATTCCATCCAGGAAGAGCACACACTAACTGCAGATGCTTCCTCAGCCTGACAAAAGGTTTTTAAACCTGAAAAGGCTTGCTAAGAATGTTTTTTCCAACTACTTAAGTTGGTTTAATAAAAGAGATCAGATTCACCCAAAGAACCTTGTCTGCATTAAAATGCATGGAATCAATTTGTGGCTTTCACTCTAGTCAACATTGATTATTACAGTACTTGTTATAAGCAGCTTTCACTGCTTGTTATTTTTATTATTATATTTATGTAAACTTTTCAAGCAGATGTTGCAAACCAAAGGAGTAAACACAGGAGAGGGTGAAGGTGACACTGAAACATCACGTTGATAAATGAGTCATGTATAATGGTTACAGGTCATGGAAGAATTTATTTTGGAGGGGAAATTGGGGCTTAAGTGGGACAAGTTAAATTTTAAGACTTAAGTATATAAAACAAATATTAAGAATTCCTACAAGCCCTCTACCTACGTTATCAACACATGAACATTTCTTGTAGGAAATGTATACAGCCTGTCCTTCTTTAGGTGCCTCTAAATCACTTCACCTGTGATGACTACAGGAAATTTTCAAGTGCTGATAACTTTGGTAGAGGGCTTGTAGGAATTCTTAATATCTAAATTGGTCCTGTGAGAGTATTTCAGACATAGAAGGTGCGTCCAGATGAGCGCACACAGTTTGTTGTGCTGCAGACACATCTGTAGTGCCACAAACTGCATGCACTGCACATGCAGCTATTTGCTGCACTGCTAATTTGCAGTGCAGCAGGGTTTTTGTGACACAGGGAGATCCTGGTGGGTTTTGGTTTTTTGGGGGCGGGGGTTTGACACCAGGAAATCCTGGTGTCAAAAAAACCCACATAGGAAAAAAGTGGGGTGACAAACATGGCAGGAACCAGAGCCTGGCTTGCTGGAGCCATACTCTGGCTGCTGGCCAGGTTCCGTGTGCCCAGATCATCACCACTGATCAGATCCCACTGACCCTCAGAACCCCAGGTAAGGGTGCTGGGACCAGCCTAGACTGGCAGCCTCCTTTACCCCAGCTGGTCCCAGCTCCCTTCATATAAGGGTGTTCACTCCCCTACTACCCAGGGCAACATGGCATGTGGCAGAGCATGTGTGCATGGGTATTCCCTGGGGACAAGTAGCAGTGGCACAATTATGTGCTGTTGCTATTTGTCGCTGGGGAAACACACGTGCATGCTAGCCTGGACACGCCCAAAAGATGGAATGCTAGATGCTACAAACAGGTGGGTGGAGTGACTATTGATGGTAAGAGGGAAGAGCTGGTATACACAGGTTAAAAACACAGATAAAATAGGCAGCAGAGTGGGTCAGAGCCAAAGGTGAGGACAAAAACCTTGAACTTGTGGTTGTGAATGTGAGCCGGTGGAAGAATTCAAAGAAGATTCAATTCTCTGGTTGGAACAAGGGATAAAGAAGCTGTCATTGAAAAATCTTGTCCTGAGTAGGTTTAAAGATTAGAGACATGGGAGACTGTTACAGTAATTGAAGTAGGAGATAGCCTGGATGCTAATTTTAGTTGTGTGAAAAAAGAAAAGCAAACATTTTGGAAAAGGATTTGCTAATGACAGTGACTTCTGAATGTTTACAGGTACCTACAATTCTGTTATTGACTTCTACATTGGCTAGGTGTTGCCTTACTTGTTCAGCACTTTCCAGTAGATTAATTACTATATCTTTTGAGAGGTGTGCACACCTACAGCAGTATAGTCATAGTAGCTGACATTTAAAATAAGAACCAGCTGTGCCACATCCTGTTTGTTCTACTTAAAACTAAGCTGTTAAATAAGCCTATAAAAGAATATGCCTTGTAATTTACTGAAAACTTCAAAACACTATGAGCCATATTCTACTCCAGTTATTACAGATTAAAATTAAGTGAAGGAATCTGAATTAAAATTTGGAGTCTAAATTAGGTCCCAGAATTCCATGGTGATGTCTTTTGTGAATTTCAGAGCTGATGACCAATAAGTATAGTTTGGTCAATATAACTGATTATTCCAAGTCCACTGAAATCAAGAGAGAGAGTCGCATTGACTTCAATGGATTTTGGATCAAGCCCACCACAAATTATTATTATTATTATTTTTTTAAAACAGTGAACATAGTAATAATTATCTGCTGAATAGCTTTTGATCATATATATCTGGTTGGGCAAAAAGGGCAAATAATTATTCTTGATTATTAGAAGGATGATCTCTTTGAGTACATGATGGGCTCTAATAATTTTGGCGCTCTGATTTTGTAGCACACATCTATAATTTGGCAAACAAAAGTTCAGGCTAAAAATTGCAATTAAAAAAAATATGATTGAAGAATTCCTATAAGACTTTGCAGTCTTTCCTCCCGACCCCACCTCCACCCTAGAAAAAAATTGCTTTTAAACATTTGAGAATCACTGGTTTTCATTATTTACTTTCATGCATCCATTAAGTTTCTTATATCAATAAGCAGCTGATGGCAGCATTGACTTCTTTATCAAGTGCCTGAACTTGGTTTAGGTATCCAAGTTGTAGCTGTATTGGTCTAGAGGCAAAAGGAATCAGAACTCTTGGCAGGGGTGATAGCTTTTATCAGACCCACTAGATTTGGGCAAAAAAAAAAAAAAAAAATCTTTATTTGCAAGGTTTTGGGCACAGACACCCTTCTTCAGCAATAGGAGAAAATATTGTAAAAGTTCTCCTAGGCAGAAATGAAAGTCCATATTTCATAGGAGACTTGAAGGTATGGTCAAA